CCCTGTCTTAAGTCAGTTAGGATCACCACTTTATTTTAAGAATGTGAAATTTCAGAATAATAGTAGAGAGAATGATTTATTTCAGCTTTTATTTATTTCATCACATTCCCAGTGGGTCAGAAGTTTACATACACTCAATTAGTATTTGGTAGCATTGCCTTTAAATTGTTTAACTTGGGTCAAACGTTTCGGGTAGCCTTCCACATGCTTCCCACAATAAGTTGGGTGAATTGTGGCCCATTCCCCCTGACAGAACTGGTGTAACTGAGTCAGGTTTGTAGGCCTCCTTGCTCGCACACACTTTTTCAGTTCTGCCCACAAATGTTCTATAGGATTGATGTCAGGGCTTTGTGATGGCCACTCCAATACCTTGACTTTGTTGTCCTTAAGCCATTTTGGCACAACTTTGGAAGTATGCTTGGGGTCATTGTCCATTTGGAAGACCCATTTGCGACCAAGCTTTAACTTCCTGACTGATGTCTTGAGATGTTGCTTCAATATATCCACATAATTTTCCTTCCTCATGATGCCATCTATTTTATGAAGTGCACCAGTCCCTCCTGCAGCAAAGCACCCCCACAGCATGATGCTGCCAACCCTGCGCTTCACGGTTGGGATGGTGTTCTTCGGCTTGCAAGCCTGCCCCTTTTTCCTCCAAACATAACGATGGTCATTATGGCCAAACAGTTCTATTTTTGTTTCATCAGACTAGAGGACATTTCTCCAAAAAGTACGATCTTTGTCCCCATGTGCAGCTGCAAACCGTAGTCTTGCTTTTTTATGGCAGTTTTGGAGCAGTGGCTTCTTCCTTGCTGAGCGGCCTTTCAGGTTATGTCGATATAAGACTCGTTTTACTGTGGATATAGATACTTTTGTACCTGTTTCCTCCAGCATCTTCACAAGGTCCTTTGCTGTTGTTCTGGGATTGATTTGCACTTTTCGCACCAAAGTACGTTCATCTCTAGGAGACAGAACGCGTCTCCTTCCTGAGCGGTATGATGTCTGCGTGGTCCCATGGTGTTTATACTTGCATACTATTGTTTGTACAGATGAACGTGGTACCTTTAGGCGTTTGGAAATTGCTCCCAAGGATGAACCAGACTTGTGGAGGTCTACAAATTTTTTTCTGAGGTCTTGGCTGATTTATTTTGATTTTCCCATGATGTCAAGCAAAGAGGCACTGAGTTTGAAGGTAGGCCTTGAAATACATCCAATTGACTCAAATGATGTCAATTAGCCGATCAGAAGCTTCTAAAGCCATGACATCATTTCCTGGAATTTTCCAAGCTGTTTAAAGGCACAGTCAACTTAGTGTATGTAAACTTCTGACCCACTGGAATTGTGATACAGTGAATTACAAGTTAAATAATCTGTCTGTAAACAATTGTTGGAAAAATTACTTGTGTCATGCACAAAGTAGATGTCCTAACCGACTTGCCAAAACTATAGTTTGTTAACAAGAAATGTGTGGAGTGGCTGAAAAACGAGTTTATCTTTTGGCCAAATTTCACATTCACAAATGTAAATTTACAAACAAAACAACACATTTTCTTACCGTACAAAAATAAATTGAACTATATTTTAAGACAATTAAATACTCTACCAATAAAAAAGCTGTTTTTGTCCCTTAAGGTCCTTGTGTAATGTGATATTGTACCCCCTAGCCCAATTTGTCCTTTGTACACTGCTCAAAAAAATTAAGGGAACACTTAAACAACACAATGTAACTCCAAGTCAATCACACTTCTGTGAAATCAAACTGTCCACTTAGGAAGCAACACTGATTGACAATAAATGTCACATGTTGTTGTGCAAATGGGATAGACAACAGGTGGAAATTATAGGCAATTAGCAAGACACCCCCAATAAAGGACTGGTTTTGCAGGTGGTGACCACAGACCACTTCTCAGTTCCTATGCTTCCTGGCTGATGTTTTGGTCACTTTTGAATGCTGCCGGTGCTTTCACTCTAGTGGTAGCATGAGACGGAGTCTACAGCCCACACAAGTGGCTCAGGTAGTGCAGCTCATCCAGGATGGCACATCAATGCGAGCTGTGGCAAGAAGGTTTGCTGTGTCTGTCAGCGTAGTGTCCAGAGCATGGAGGCGCTACCAGGAGACAGGCCAGTACATCAGGAGACGTGGAGGAGGCCGTAGGAGGGCAACAACCCAGCAGCAGGAATGCTACCTCCGCCTTTGTGCAAGGAAGAGCACTGCCAGAGCCCTGCAAAATGACCTCCAGCAGGCCACAAATGTGCATGTGTCTGCTCAAACGGTCAGAAACAGACTCCATTGGGGTGGTATGAGGGCCCGACGTACACAGGTGGGGGTTGTGCTTACAGCCCAACACTGTGCAGGACGTTTGGCATTTGCCAGAGAACACCAAGAATGGCAAATTCGCCACTGGTGCCCTGTGCTCTTCACAGATGAAAGCAGGTTCACACTGAGCACATGTGACAGACGTGACAGAGTCTGGAGACGCCGTGGAGAACGTGCTGCTGCCTGCAACATCCTCCAGCATGACCGGTTTGGCGTGGGTCAGTCATGGTGTGGGGTGGCATTTCTTTGGGGGGCCGCACAGCCCTCCATGTGCTCGCCAGAGGTAGCCTGACTGCCATTAGGTACCGAGATGAGATCCTCAGACCCCTTGTGAGACCATATGCTGGTGTGGTTGGCCCTGGGTTCCTCCTAATGCAAGACAATGCTAGACCTCACGTGGCTGGAGTGTGTCAGCAGCTCCTGCAAGAGGAAGGCATTGATGCTATGGACTGGCCCGCCCGTTCCCCAGACCTGAATCCAATTGAGCACATCTGGGACATCATGTCTCGCTCCATCCACCAACGCCACGTTGCACCACAGACTGTCCAGGAGTTGGCGGATGCTTTAGTCCAGGTCTGGGAGGAGATCCCTCAGGAGACCATCCGCCACCTCATCAGGAGCATGCCCAGGCGTTGTAGGGAGGTCATACAGGCACGTGGAGGCCACACACACTACTGAGCAACATTTTGACTTGTTTTAAGGACATTACATCAAAGTTGGATCAGCCTGTAGTGTGGTTTTCCACTTTAATTTTGAGGGTGACTCCAAATCCAGACCTCCATGGGTTGATACATTTGATAATTTTTGTGTGATTTTGTTGTCAGCACATTCAACTATGTAAAGAAAAAAGTATTTAATAAGATTATTTCATTCATTCAGATCTAGGATGTGTTATTTTAGTGTTCCCTTTATTTTTTTGAGCAGTGTATATTGTTTATATATACTTGTGTTCCCCCATGTACTTTTGTACTGATTTGTTGTTAATAATAATAATTTAAAAAAATATATAAATATATATATATTTAAAAGAAATCTCGATTTGTAGTGAACTTGAAAAGAATTCATAGCGGTGAACGAACTTGATCATAATAAACACATTATAGAGCCCAAAAGGGCCGTCTAATTAAGCAATAAGACCCGAGGGAGTGTGGTATATGGCCAATATACCACGGCTAAGGGCTGTTCTTAGGCCAATGCAACGCGGAGTGCCTGGACACAGCCCTTAGCCGTGGATATTGACCATATATCACAAACCCCCGAGGTGACTTATTGCTATTATAAACTGGTTACCAACGTATTTAGAGCAGTAAAAATAAATGTTTTGTCATACCCGTGGTATACGGTCTGATATACCACGGCTGTCAGCCAATCAGCATTCAGGGCTACTTCCTACACAGTAGCCCACCAGCAGAGCTCATGATTTCACGCTCCAGACCGGACACTGGGGGACCTGCTACAGTGCCACCTGCTAGTGGTATAGATAAAGCATGGAGGGATGATTTTACGACGTTGCGGTCTTGAATGCAACACGTTATTTGCGTGTCACGTGACCAAAAGCGGCAGCGAACTATGCAACAAACACAAATATTTTGCGTTAGAAAAAATTGCTAAACTAGGATATAAAATCCCACTAATTATGCCTTTTAATGTGATATTAAAGAGCTGTCAATGTGAGCTGTATATTTTACAGTTGTTTAGAAAACTGCTGAGGGGCGGTTTCAGAGGTAGCTGGGCTAAAAGGATGTAGAGGGTTGCCATTACAGTGATAGTGTAGAAATTAATGGCATCAATATATTAGATAAGAAATGTAATAACAATTTAGTCCGAGAAGTTATTAAAAGGAAGTTTACCCCTGCTGCAATTTTTCTATGCGCGTCTTCATTTGATGTGAAATGAGCGTGCGTGGACTAATCCACATAAATATTTGATAACTAATAAAGTAAGATAAGTCTCTTACAAGATCCTTTGTAATAGTCTTATTTCTAAATATGTAATTAATGTAGAAAAGGAATGTAGCTTTTGTAAATTGGAAGGCGAGACTATAGAGCATTTATTTTGTGATTGTTTGCATAGTTAAATATTTTGGACAGATATGAAAATATATACTAGTGATAAGATGGGTAAACCTATAAGCATTACCAAATGTGATATTCTTGTTTATTTTACATACACGCACAGTGACTGCCAATACATTGTGAATTTATTCATTTTATTGGGGAAATTGTTCATCCATAAAATGAAGTTCATGGGTAAAAATTTTTTTTTTTCAATATTCTTCAAAAAAAAAATCCCCCAATATTATATAACATCCCTAAAATATATAAACACAAATTATCAAAGAAGTGTCTACAGTATTTATCAAAATGTAACTTGTCTATAGCGTATGTATACTTTTTTTTATTTGGTCTTTTTTTGTTCTTATGTGTGATATATATTGGTTTGTACAATGTTCGTGTAATGCAAAAAAAAAAAAGTTGCCACTAGTCTAGTTACCACAGCCACAAAGTCATAATATCGTTAGAATTTGCTTTCTTTTTTAAATTTAAGGTTAGGGTTGGACATAATGTTAGCAGTGTGGTTAAGGTTAGGTTTCAAATCTGATTTGAAGAAGAGAAATTGTATAAATAGGCGGGGTTTAGCCATAATTATGACTTTGTGGCTGGGGTAACTAGTAACGAGCGAAGTAGAGACGGGCGACGACGAGTTGACTAAACATGGCGCCCTTGCTGGATCACAAAATTGTCGATGCTATGTTATCTTCTTTACCTTTGCGATCAAAATCGAATCTTCTAACATGTTCACTAATTTTGGTGATTTACCTGACGTCGCAGCCAGCTTTGGCCAAACCGAGCAGCCTCAAAGAGATCACTGACGGAAACTGGGAAGACATCTTGGCAGGGGAATGGATGATTGAGTTGTAAGTACAGCTAGCAAGCATGCCAAGCTAACTGCTTAGCTAAGTTAGCTAGCCATACAGCTACGTTGTTTTGCAATAGTCCGTTTTTTGTAGTCTTGAATCGGCACGTGTTGATTTCCAGACCACACCTAATCAGCTACTTCTGATCTTAACAAGCTAGCGTAGATAGCTAGTTACATTGTTGCATAGGCTTGCAGCTAGGAATCTAAATGAAATGCTTTCAAGTACACACGATAATCAGGTCCAATGAGGTGGAAGGCTAGCGTTTGGCTGCTGGATACTGAGTATTGTTGTTAGGTATCTACATAGAATTAGCAGTGTTTCCACTAGGATTTTCTTTCAGCAGAGGTGCAACGTTAGTGAGTGAAGGGGGGGGGGGGGGGCGTGGCCAACAGCACCACCTCAAACATAACAATTTAGAGGCCCTCTTGGCCACAGAGAATTGCTGTTTTAAAGCTAACTTCCTGCAATTCTACACATTTTGTCATGGGGCAGAGAGAAAATGTGCAGTTTTAAAGCCAATTTCCTGCAAATTTACACATTTTGCCATGGCTTATGCGGTGTTCTTATGCTATCTGAGTGACTCAAACATTATAACAAAATGTATGGGGGCCCCATGCCATGACATTTTTGGAGCAGGGGGGGGGGGGGCGTGGCCAACAGCACCACCTCAAACATAACAATTTAGAGGCCCTCTTGGCCACAGAGAAAATTGCTGTTTTAAAGCTAACTTCCTGCAATTCTACACATTTTGTCATGGGGCAGAGAGAAAATGTGCAGTTTTTAAAGCCAATTTCCTGCAATTTTACACATTTTGCCATGGCTTATGCGGTGTTCTTATGCTATCTGAGTGACTCAAACATTATAACAAAATGTATGGGGGCCCCATGCCATGACATTTTTGGAGGGGGGGGGGGGGGGGGGGGCGTGGCCAACAGCACCACCTCAAACATAACAATTTAGAGGCCCTCTTGGCCACAGAGAAAATTGCTGTTTTAAAGCTAATTTCCTGCAATTCTACACATTTTGTCATGGGGCAGAGAGAAAATGTGCAGTTTTAAAGCCAATTTCCTGCAAATTTACACATTTTGCCATGGCTTATGCGGTGTTCTTATGCTATCTGAGTGACTCAAACATTATAACAAAATGTATGGGGGCCCCATGCCATGACATTTTTGGAAATCCCGACAGAGATTATTGCGGCACGGTCAGCATTTTTGATGGAGACCACACATATACTAGTCTCCTGAGTGGCGCAGTGGTCTAAGGCACTGCATCGCAGTGCTAACTGTGCCACTAGAGATCCTGGTTTGAATCCAGGCTCTGTCGCAGCCGGCCGCGACCGGGAGACTCATGGGCGGCGCACAATTGGCCCAGCGTCGTCCAGGGTAGGGGAGGGAATGGCCGGCAGGGATGTAGTTCGATTCCCACGGGGGGCCAGTATAAAAAAAAAGAAATATGTATTCACTAACTGTAAGTCGCTCTGGATAAGAGCGTCTGCTAAATGACTAAAATGTAATACTAGGTGCACTTGATCTTGCACACCCAACGAGGAGAGGTAGGCTACTTTAACTTGAAGCAGCGAATTCTGAGAGTGTGTGAATAATGCAACAAAGATGTGCTTTTATTACAATAGGTAGGCTGACGAGTAGAAAGCAGAAAGACTAATGTTTCCAAATAATCTGCGGGACAACAAAAATATGTTAATTCCCAAAGTTGTCTGTCTTGACCGCCCGCTCCTAACCGCAGCATGAAACATGCAGACCGCGCCGCAATGATCTGTCGGGATCCGCAGGTCACAGCCCTCTACTTTATGGTGTAGTTAAGATCTTAAAGGGGCAATCTGCGATGGGTACATACATTTTTTTTTACTTTTAATGATAGCTATATAGCCATTGATTCTTGAAGAATATAACTTATGAGTTTAGTTCAACAGTCTAACCCCATTAGAACCCAAAATATAAGCTTGTTTTACTCCATTGTTTGTAAACAATACAATTGTAAACAAACACTGTATAGCTTGCTGTTTAGCGCTTCTGTTTACCCAAAAAGGTGGCGGGGTCTCCACTTTGTTGTTATTTGAACTGCAGATTGCCCCTTTAACTAGAAAGGTTATGTATAGCTCTTGAAAAGCCTTCTCAGTTTGGTTTTCAGCAGTTAGCTTCTCCCACGGTTGGCTGCGTGTGATCTACAATTCCGACACTGTGTTTTAACGTTTATAAACATCAATAATCATCGATTGCAAAACTTTTTTTAAACATATGCTATTATGCCCTTTATCTTTCATATCAGCGACAAATAATCTTTCAAATTAAAAAGTTACTTACTGTAGCAGTTTTGCACAGATCCATACGCTGTGTGTGCCTCCAGTTGATGAACTACACTTCCTCACCAGTTACTTACACCCAGGTGTTTGGAGCACGCTAGATAGCTAATTAGCACAGGTGGCTGCCTCTGTCTTCCGTAAACAAGCACTGTAACATGGAGATATGGCTGTGTGGGAACACTAACCCTATAAAGGTGTATATGAAGAAATTAGATTGTTTTTTTTATTATTATATCTCGCTAATATGAAAGATACGTTTCATATGTTTCCAAAACCGTACCGCAAGCGATGCATTTTAACGTTCAGAACGAGCGTTGAGGCTCTTAACAACCTCCCGAGTGGCGCAGTGGTCTAAGGCGCCGCATCGCAGCGCTAACTGTGCCACTAGAGATCCTGGTTCGAATCCAGGCTCTGTCGCAGCCGGCCGCGACCGGGAGACCCATGGGGCGGCGCACAATTGGCCCAGCGTCATCCAGGGTAGGGGAGGGAATGGCCGGCAGGGGATGTAGCTCAGTTGATAGAGCATGGCGTTTGCAACGCCAGGGTTGTGGGTTCGATTCCCACGGGGGGCCAGTATAAAAATAAAATAAAAAATAATAATAATAATATGTATTCACTAACTGTAAGTCGCTCTGGATAAGAGCGTCTGCTAAATGACTAAAATGTAAATGTTAACAAAACTCCCCCTGCCAGAAGATACTATCGTCCATAGGCGCTAAAGGTGGTTAGCGTCAATGAATGGGGTAGGTTATGTGTTGACCTAGCTAAGGTATACTTCAGTGTCCATATGAAGAACTCAGATTGTAAAACTTTTTCTTTTTTTAGTCATAGGTATGGATAATGTTGACCATTCATAACATGTTGACAACAGCTGCCATTGAATCTTGTGTAGTTGTCAGTTTATTTTGTTTGAAAACTGTCTAGCTAATGTTATTTTCATGCCAATGTTTGGCCTCAACTCACTCTTCCCCGGCAGCTTTGCCCCGTGGTGTCCGGCGTGCCAGCAGCTCCAGCCCGTGTGGAATGATTTCGCCGATTGGGGGGAGGACATGGGGGTCAACATAGCGAAAGTGGATGTTACTGAACAGCCTGGTATGTATACTCTCCTTCCCTGGCTGCCTGACTGACTGCCTGCCTGACCGTGTGCTTGTCAATTACTTCCCTTCTCACGTTTCACAGAGCTCCGGGATGAAGTTTCCCCTAGGTACAGATCTAGAATCAGCTTCCCATCCCCCAATCCTAACCTTAACTATTAGTAGGGAAAATGCAAAACTGACCCAATATCACTGTCTATGGGCAACTGCACCCTAATCCTTTCAGAGAAAGGATTACACCCACTATGTTTTGTAGTGTAGACAATGCATGTCATTTGATCTAGCTATGGTCCATTATTACCATTGGTAGGACTTGTTACAATTGGTAGAACTTGTTAGGCCTAGTATCTCAGGTTTTTGTAGACCTGTAATATTAGTCAAGAACAAGATGATGTTGGTCATTCAGAGATATTAAGTACATTTACATTTTGGTCATTTAGCAGACGCTCTTATCCAGAGCGACTTACAGGAGCAATTAGGGTTAAGTGCCTTGCTCAAGGGCACATCGACAGATTTTTCACATAGTCGGCTCGGGGATTAGAACCAGCGACCTTTCGGTTACTGGCACTACGCTCTTAACCACTAAGCTACCTGCCGCCCCAGTCATATTCACTAACATTCTGCTCTCTCCTTCCCGCACCTTAGGTTTGAGTGGACGATTCATTATAACATCACTTCCGACCATCTACCAGTAAGTTCTCTCTCTGTAACTTCAAGTTACTGTATGTCTCTCATCCTGTTCTTCTCACAGATGCACGCCTACAAACCTCAACCAATCTATGTAGACTACACTCACACAGTCTCATCAGTAATTGTGATCATCTAACCTACACATTTCAGTTTATAACCCTCACTGGAATGTGAGATGCTGTTAGATAGCTTCAGACTTTGTCTGGAAGAGGAAATGTTAGTGTTTCTTTCTCACATCTCTTTTTTGCTAATGTAGTGATCCTACGCCCAGTTTAGACTAAAAAAGTAAATGTCTGTCAATGGTAGAAGAACTGTAATTATATAACCCTATATACAGTTGAAGTCGGAAGTTTACATACACCTTAGCCAAATACATTTAAACTCAGTTTTTCACAATTCCTGACATTTAATCCTAGTAAAAATTCCCTGTCTTAGGTCAGTTAGGATGACCACTTTATTTTAAGAATGTGAAATGTCAGAATAATAGTAGAGAATGATTTACACTGCTCAAAAAAATAAAGGGAACACTTAAACAACACAATGTAACTCCAAGTCAATCACACTTCTGTGAAATCAAACTGTCCACTTAGGAAGCAACACTGATTGACAATACATTTCACATGCTGTTGTGCAAATGGAATAGACAACAGGTGGAAATTATAGGCAATTAGCAAGACACCCCCAATAAAGGACTGGTTTAGCAGGTGGTGCCCACAGACCACTTCTCAGTTCCAATGCTTCCTGGCTGATGTTTTGGTCACTTTTGAATGCTGCCGGTGCTTTCACTCTAGTGGTAGCATGAGACGGCGTCTACAACCCACACAAGTGGCTCAGGTAGTGCAGCTCATCCAGGATGGCACATCAATGCGAGCTGTGGCAAGAAGGTTTGCTGTGTCTGTCAGCGTAGTGTCCAGAGCATGGAGGCGCTACCAGGAGACAGGCCAGTACATCAGGAGACGTGGAGGAGGCCGTAGGAGGGCAACAACCCAGCAGCAGGACTGCTACCTCCGCCTTTGTGCAAGGAGGAGCAGGAGGAGCACTGCCAGAGCCCTGCAAAATGACCTCCAGCAGGCCACAAATGTGCATGTGTCTGCTCAAACGGTCAGAAACAGACTCCATGAGGGTGGTATGAGGGCCCGAGGTCCACAGGTGGGGGTTGTGCTTACAGCCCAACACCGTGCAGGACGTTTGGCATTTGCCAGAGAACACCAAGATTGGCAAATTCGCCACTGCGCCCTGTGCTCTTCACAGATGAAAGCAGGTTCACACTGAGCACGTGACAGATGTGACAGTCTGGAGACGCCGTGGAGAACGTTCTGCTGCCTGCAACATCCTCCAGCATGACCGGTTTCGCGGTGGGTCAGTCATGGTGTGGGGTGGCATTTCTTTGGGGGGCTGCACAGCCCTCCATGTGCTCGCCAGAGGTAGCCTGACTGCCATTAGGTACCGAGATGAGATCCTCAGACCCCTTGTGAGACCATATGCTGGTGCGGTTGGCCCTGGGTTCCTCCTAATGCAAGACAATGCTAGACCTCATCTGGCTGGAGTGTCAGCAGTTCCTGCAAGAGGAAGGCATTGATGCTATGGACTGGCCCGCCCGTTCACCAGACCTGAATCCAATTGAGCACATCTGGAACATCATGTCTCGCTCCATCCACCAACGCCACGTTGCACCACAGACTGTCCAGGAGTTGGCGGATGCTTTAGTCCAGGTCTGGGAGGAGATCCCTCAGGAGACCATCCGCCACCTCATCAGGAGCATGCCCAGGCGTTGTAGGGAGGTCATACAGGCACGTGGAGGCCACACACACTACTGAGCCTCATTTTGACTTGTTTTAAGGACATTACATCAAAGTTGGATCAGCCTGTAGTGTGGTTTTCCACTTTTCAATTTTGAGGGTGACTCCAAATCCAGACCTCCATGGGTTGATACATTTGATTTCCATTGATAATTTTTGTGTGAATTTGTTGTCAGCACATTCAACTATGTAAAGAAAAAAGTATTTAATAAGAGTATTTAATTCATTCAGATCTAGGATGTGTTATTTTAGTGTTCCCTTTATTTTTTTGAGCAGTGTATTTCAGCTTTTATTTCTTTCATCACATTCCCAGTGGGTCAGAAGTTTACATACACTCAATTAGTATTTGGTAGCATTGCCTTTAAATTGTTTAACTTGGGTCAAACGTTTTGGGTAGCCTTCCACAAGCTTCCCACAATAAGTTGGGTGAATTTTGGCCCATTCCTCCTGACAGAGATGGTGTAACTGAGTCAGGTTTGGAGGCCTCCTTGCTCGCACACGCCTTTTCTGTTCTGCCCACATATTTTCTATAGGATTGAGGTCAGGGCTTTGTGATGGCCACTCCAATACCTTGACTTTGTTGTCCTTAAGCCATTTTGCCACAACTTTGGAAGTATGCTTGGGGTCATTGTCCATTTGGAAGACCCATTTGCAACCAAGCTTTAACTTCCTGACTGATGTCTTGTGATGTTGCTTCAATATATCCACATAATTTTCCTTCCTCATGATGCCATCTATTTTATGAAGTGCACCAGTCCCTCCTGCAGCAAAGCACATCCACAGCATGATGCTGCCACCCCCGTGCTTCACGGTTGGGATGGTGTTCTTCGGCTTGCAAGCAGCCTCCTTTTTCCTCCAAACATAACGATGGTCATTATGGCCAAACAGTTCTGTTTTTGTTTCATCAGACCAGAGGACATTTCTCCAAAAAGTATGATCTTTGTCCCCATGTGCAGTTGCAAACCGTAGTCTGGCTTTTTTATGGCGGTTTTGGAGCAGTGGCTTCTTCCTTGCTGTCGATATAGGACTCGTTTTACTGTGGATATAGATACTTTTGTACCTGTTTCCTCCAGCATCTTCACAAGGTCCTTTGCTGTTGTTCTGGGATTGATTTGCACTTTTCGCACCAAAGTACGTTAATCTCTAGGAGACAGAACGCGTCTCCTTCCTGAGCGGTATGACGGCTGCGTGGTCCCATGGTGTTTATACTTGCGTACTATTGTTTGTATAGATGAACGTGGTACCTTCAGGCGTTTGGAAATTGCTCCCAAGGATGAACCAGACTTGTGGAGGTCTACAATGTATTTTTCTGAGGTCTTGGCTGATTTTCTTTTGATTTTTCCCATGATGTCAAGCAAAGAGGCAGTTTGAAGGTAGGCCTTGAAATACATCCACAGGTACACCTCCAATTGACTCAAATAATGTCAATTAGCCTATCAGAAACTTATAAAGCCATGACATCATTTCCTGGAATTTTCCAAGCTGTTTAAAGGCACAGTCAACTTAGTGTATGTAAACTTCTGACCCACTGGAATTGTGATACAGTGAATTATAAGTGAAATAATCTGTCTGTAAACAATTGTTTGAAAAATTACTTGTGTCATGCACAAAGTAGATGTCCTAACCAACTTGCCAACTAAAACTATAGTTTGTTTACAAGAAATGTGTGGAGTGGTTGAAAAACGAGTTTTAATGACTCCAACCTAAATGTATGTAAACTTCCGACTTCAACTGTAACTTAGTGGCACATTAGGCAAATAAACTGTTTCTGTCCTTATTGTGGTTAATGCCACAATATTGGCTTGTTAACCTGTCTTCAATTGTGTGCTAGATCTCTATGATCACACTGTGTGTGTGTGTGTGTGTGTGTGTGTGTGTGTGTGTGTGTGTGTGTGTGTGAATCAGCTGTAAGGATGGTGTGTTTAGGAGGTACCAGGGGGCTCGCACCAAAGATGACTTCCTAAGCTTTATTGATGAGAAGAAGTGGCAGGGCATTGAACCGGTGTCTTCCTGGTTCGGACCATCTTCCTTCATGTGAGTGGATTGATTGATTGTCAGTCTCCTTTCCTAACTGGGTTGTTCTGTGTGAAACTTAAACAAAATCCTTTTTGGATCTTTCTGACATTTTATGAAAAGGTCATTTAGAGTTAGGGATGGGCATGAGTACTCGAACTGACGTCAACTCGATCTTTAACCAGAGATCAATTTTTTTTCAAATACTATAAAACTATTTGGTTAAAATTGTCTCGAAGACGACGTTCATTTGCTTAGACTCTATTGTTCCATTTGTACATATGCATTTGCGGAAAAAAGAGAGAGAAAAAAAAACAAGCCAAGCATCACACAGTTCTGTTCCCTAAATTCCCTTTCCCTCCATGTCTCACACACTCCCTCTACTTCTCGCGCCTACAGAAATAAATGCCTATTAAAAAAACAATCTAACTGATGAGATACACAAGCTACATTCCTTTTCCAAATAATGACAGTTTTATCACAAATTCTAAATGTACTGGTTGACTGAAGTAGGGTGTATGTGTTCCAACAGTTTTGGAAAAATTGCGTCATTTTCCGCTTAGGCTACTTTGCGCTTGTCACTAGTTACCACAGCCACAAAGTCAAAATGGTCTATATTGTTTAAAATCATGAAATATTTGTTTAGCTTTTTGGTCTTAATTTAAGGTTAGTCATAAGGTTAACGGTGTGGTTAAGGTTAGGTTTAAAATCAGATTTTAAGAAGCAAAATTGTAGAAAAAGGCAGGGTTTATGACTTTGTGGTTGTGATAACTAACTTTAGAGACGACCCTACTTTGCGAACTGCTAGTGGCATTTAGAATTGGTTAGCCTAGGCTATTACCCCCCCCCCCCCCCCCCCCCCCCCCCCCTAAACATAGACAGGTTCCACACTGGTAATATGCAAAAACAGTAGTTTGATAAAGACAGTGCGTATTTTCATCAGAATCTTTAAGACGAGGCCTACTCACCAAACAGATGTCCTGGACATAATTCATCCCCATGCAGTGTTCAATGTAGAATTGTTAATCCATTTAGAAAATTCCAAGGAACAGGCATAATAAACTCAATCGAACATCTGTATATCGAAAAGAAGATCGATTTTGGTTTGTAAATCTGGAAAATGTTTCTTTCAACAACTGATCACTCTTCGCACTATTCTGTTCTATTTTATTATGTTATTGTGTCATGTTTTTTACTATAAAATAGTTGTCTTGACTGTGATACAGTGGGGGGAAAAAGTATTTAGTCAGCCACCAATTGTGCAAGTTCTCCCACTTAAAAAGATGAGAGGCCTGTAATTTTCATCATAGGTACACGTCAACTATGACAGACAAATTGAGATTTTTTTTCTTCAGAAAATCACATTGTAGGATTTTTAATGAATTTATTTGCAAATTATGGTGGAAAATAAGTATTTGGTCACCTACAAACAAGCAAGATTTCTGGCTCACAGACCTGTAACTTCTTCTTTAAGAGGCTCCTCTGTCCTCCACTCGTTTCCTGTATTAATGGCACCTGTTTGAACTTGTTATCAGTATAAAAGACACCTGTCCACAACCTCAAACAGTAACACTCCAAACTCCGCTATGGCCAAGACCAAAGAGCTGTCAAAGGACACCAGAAACAAAATGGTAGACCTGCACCAGGCTGGGAAGACTGAATCTGCAATAGGTAAGCAGCTTGGTTTGAAGAAATCAACTGTGGGAGCAATTATTAGGAAATGGAAGACATACAAGACCACTGATAATCTCCCTCGATCTGGGGCTCCACGCAAGATCTCACCCCGTGGGGTCAAAATGATCACAAGAACGGTGAGCAAAAATCCCAGAACCACACGGGGGGACCTAGTGAATGACCTGCAGAGAGCTGGGACCAAAGTAACAAAGCCTACCATCAGTAACACACTACGCCGCCAGGGACTCAAATCCTGCAGTGCAAGACGTGTCCCCCTGCTTAAGCCAGTACATGTCCAGGCCCGTCTGAAGTTTGCTAGAGTGCATTTGGATGATCCAGAAGAGGATTGGGAGAATGTCATATGGTCAGATGAAACCAAAATAGAACTTTTTGGTAAAAAAAAAAAAAAGTTGTGTTTGGAGGACAAAGAATGCTGAGTTGCATCCAAAGAACACCATACCTACTGTGAAGCATGGGGGTGGGTGTTTTTCTGCAAAGGGACCAGGACGACTGATCCGTGTAAAGGAAAGAATGAATGGGGCCATGTATCGTGAGATTTTGAGTGAAAACCTCCCATCAGCAAGGGCATTGAAGATGAAACGTGGCTGGGTCTTTCAGCATGACAATGATCCCAAACACACCGCCCGGGCAACGAAGGAGTGGCTTCGTAAGAAGCATTTCAAGGTCCTGGAGTGGCCTAGCCAGTCTCCAGATCTCAACCCCATAGAAAATCTTTGGAGGGAGTTGAAAGTCCGTGTTGCCCCCAGCCCTAAAACATCACTGCTCTAGAGGAGATCTGCATCGAGGAATGGGCCAAAATACCAGCAACAGTGTGTGAAAACCTTGTGAAGACTTACAGAAAACGTTTGACCTGTGTCATTGCCAACAAAGGGTATATAACAAAGTATTGAGAAACTTTTGTTATTGACCAAATACTTGTTTTCCACCATAATTTGCAAATAAATTCATTAAAAATCCTACAATGTGATTTTCTGGATTTTTTTTTCTTCTCATTTTGTCTGTCATAGTTGACGTGTACCTATGATGAAAATTACAGGCCTCTCATCTTTTTAAGTGGGAGAACTTGCACAATTGGTGGCTGACTAAATACTTTTTTTCCCCTACTGTAAGTGCTCGGGAAATAAGAGCGTCTTGTCTGCTAAATTAACAAAAAAGGCTATGCCATTGCACAGCCATAGGCTTCTACAAGCCAGCGCCACACTGCTGAGGTTACTACCTTTTTTGAAGATTGTGTTCCACTATATAATATAATATAATATAATACACCCGTCAGCAACGGGTCTGGCTGAAATAACCAAATCCACTAATTTGAAGGGGTGTCCACATATTTTGTGTATATACAGTGCCTTCGGAAAGTATTCAGACCCTTGACTTTTTCCACATTTTGTTACGTTACAGCCTTATTCTAAAATGGATTTTAAAAAATTACAAAATCCTCATCAATCTACACACAATACCCCATAATGACAAAGCAGAAATACCTTATTTACATAAGTATTCAGACCCTTTGCTATGAGACTCGAAATTGAGCTCTGGTGCATCCTGTTTCCATTGATCAACCTTGAGATGTTTCTACAACTTTATTGGAGTCCACCTGTGGTAAATTCAATTGATTAGACATGATTTGGAAAGGCACACACCTGTCTAAATAAGGTCCCACAGTTGACAGTGCATGTCAGAGCAAAAACCAAGCCATGAGGTCGAAGGAATTGTCCGTAGAGCTCCGAGGCAGTATTGTGTTGGGGCAAAGATCTGGGAAAGGGTACCAAAAAAACAACCATCTCTGCAGCACTCCACCAATCAGGCCTTTATGGTAGAGTGGCCAGACTAGAAGCCACTCTTCTGTAAAAGGCACATGACAGCCCACTTGGAGTTTGCCAAAAAGCACCTAAAGACTCTCAGACCATGAGAGACAAGATTCTCTGGTCTGATGAAACCAAGATTGAACTCTTTGGCCTGAATGCCAAGCGTCATGTCTGGAGGAAACCTGGCACCATCCCTACGGTGAAGCATGGTGGTGGCAGAATCATGCTGTGGGGATGTTTTTCAGCGGCAGGGACTGGGAGACTAGTCAGGATCGAGGCAAAGATGAACGGAGCAAAGTACAGAGAGATTCTTGGTGAAAACCTGCTCCAGAGCTCTCAGGACCTCAGACTGGGGCAAAGGTTCACCTTTCAAACAGGACAACGACCCTAAGCACACAGCCAAGACAACACAGGAGTGGCTTTGGGACAAGTCTCTGAATGTTGTTGAGTGGCCCAGCCAGAGCCCGGACTTAAACCTGATCAAACATCTCAAGAGAGACCTGAAAATAGCTGTGCAGCGACGCTCCCCATCCAACCTGACAGAGCTTGAGAGGATCTGCAGAGATGAATGGGAGAAGCTTCCCAAATACAGGTGTGCCAAGCTTGTAGCATCATACCCAAGAAGACTCAATGCTGTAATTGCTGCCAAAGGTGCTTCAACAAAGTACTGAGAATACTTATGTAAATGTAATATTTCTGTTTGTTTTTTTGAATAAATAAGCAAACATTTCTAAAAACCTGTTTTTCCTTTGTCATTATGGGGTATTGTGTGTAGATTGATGAGGGGGAAAAACAATTTAATACATTTTAGAATAAGGCTGTAACATAACAATGTGGAAAAAGTCAAGGGTTCTGAATACTTTCCGAGGCAATTTAGCAATTAGGGTTTGTTATCTGTAGTGGTTATGATAAATTAGGCATTGTTGCTCACTGTTGGCATATAGATGAATGTGAACAAAGAAAATCCAGTGCCGGCCTATTTTTTTTTTTTATAGCTTTTTTTTTCTTCATTCCAGTAATCGAGTACTGGAAAGAATCTTATGACAACTCAAAGGTCAAATGCCCATCCCTATTTAGAGCAGTGGTCACCAACCGGTCGATCGCATTCCTAGTCGATCACCAAACATTTCTGTAGAAAAGCCAACGGTAAAGCCTTGTCACAGAGTTTCTAAACCTAGAGGCACAACATCACGAGACTTCTGGGAAAGCTTGCAAAACAGACCAAGCAGACCAGGCTGGGGTTTGAGAAGCCAAATGAGAGAAGTGAAAAAATCTTCCTTGGTTGTTAATTTTCTCAATCTAAAGGCACCGCCTAGATTCGAGCCAAAGTCTTAAGTAGTTGGACGTTATTACTCCAACCTTGTGAAAGTGACAAACTGACACGTTCAAATTTTAATCAAAAACGACTTGATATCGAAGGAGTGCCTTTTGATTTGACATCCTACGCAGTTCGGCGGGAGACGACCGTTAGACCCGATGACGTGTTTCTGCGCTTAGCTATCCAACGTCGCCATGACATCGCCTACAAGTGTGATTGAGGATTTCTATTGGAGAAGTAGTTTCTGCCTATCTTCTTAGTGTACTGTTTTTCTTTATTCATCTTGCGCTGTTGGCGGTAGGTGCATTTGATTCAGAAGCACTTCGCGCCAGGTAGGCACAGTGTTTCCATTTTGAACCATTTAATTTGTCTGAAAGGACAAACTCTGCCTACCCAGCGGACCACGAGAGCTGTGGCTAAATCAAGTGCACCTACTGCGCTGGCTAGACTTTTAAAACCATGACCAGAGAGAGACTCAAAGAATACAGCAAAGAGCTGCTGTTTTTATGAGTGAGTTCATGTTTATCGATAGGCCTGCGTTTTTGGTATTAGCAGCTCGTAGTGTTTATTTTAATACCAAGGAATATTTCACTTTCTCTGGTCATAGGAACAACATGAATTTGTGCATGAGGCAGAAATAATGCAGTGCGACTCGAGTTTCGCCATCAGCTGGAAGACTGTCCCCTCTCTCTGGTTAGTCTCGCTGGAGGAAAGGAGCAGTGACTGTGAGAGGAGAGGCAGACCCTCTACTGCTCTCTTCCTCCCTGAGACTGACCATCAGATGCAGCTACAATCAGTTCAGTAAAATAAAAATTAATTATTAGCAAGTTATTTCAATTTATGCTCAGCGGTGCCTCGCGAGTGATACAACAACTGATCTATTTTGTTATCAAAGCTTGAGTTTTGAAATATAATATGGTCTGAGGAGAACAATATTGGCAGGCCAAGCATAGCCAATATGCTGTGATAATGTATTAGGCCTACTGCACAAACCTCATTCCTACGGAAATGTTTTTATTATGTTAATGGTGCATAGGCTTACATTTTAAGTCATGTTTTAAAAATAATTTGAGCTGCAGATCTCTGCTTGCTTTTTGACTGCGAAAGTGATCTTGACTCAAAAGGTTGGTGACTGCCTTAGAGGAAGGATGTTTCATACATATTTGTCGTTTCGGTCTAAAAGGATTGTTGAGATATTTAAGACCATACCATGTACTGGGTGACTGTACCCAGTATGTGATATAGGAGTAGATGATACAGTGAATAAATTGCTACCGTACATTTCCATGTAGAGTCGTCTCATGAAGACCACAACTTATATTTACTCATTCTTAACCACAATCGTTCTTCTTATCACTGACAGTGACACACACACTAGACTTCAGAACCACAGGAAATATCAAACGCTACACTCCAACCTCTCCTGGTAGTTACTTAGCCACTTAGTTTTCGGTATAGACATAAAACCAACAGACCCAAATGTGCGCCCCAAATGGCACCCTACTCCCTATATAGTGCACTAATTTTGACCATAGCCCTGGTCAAAAGTAGAGCCCTATATAGGAAATAGGATGCCATTTGGGATGCAACCATGCTTATTTCCCCCTCTGTCAGCCACTCTGACACTTTTAACCAGGTTACAGTCTTTGTTTTTAGCTGTTGATTATTAGCTGTCTCATTAAAAAGTCTAAAAGGTATTTCTTCCTCTGCAGGATGAACACAATGTCAGCTCTCTTCAAGTTGTCAATGTTCATTAGGGTGAGTCCTGCTGTTGCCTTCTCCCTGCGTGCTGTTAGACCCCATTCATACCACACCAACATTATGGCTGCATCCCAAATGGCGCTCTCTTCTCTATGTAGTGCACTACTTTTGAACAAGGCCTTTAGGGTTGACTTATTCCACATTTTGATGTGTTTCAGCCTGAATTCAAAATGGATTCTCAGCCATCTACACACAATATCCTATAATGACAAAGTGAAAACATGTTTTTAGAAATTTTAGCAAATTTATTGAAAATGAAATCTAGAAATATCTCATTTACATGTTAGAATCACCCTTGGCAGTGATTACAGCTGTGAGTCTTTCTGGGTAAGTTTGCACACCTGGATTGTACAATATTTGCCCATTATTCTTAAAATAATTATTCAAGCTCTGTCAAATTGGTTGTTGATCATTGCTAGACAACCATTTTCAAGTCTTGCCATAGATTTTCAAGCAGATTTAATTCAAAACTGTAACTCCGCCACTCAGGAACATTCACAGTCTTCTTGGTAAGCAACTCCAGTGTAGATTTGGCCTTGTGTTTTAGGTTATTCACCTGCTGAAAGGCGAGTTCATCTCCTAGTGTCTGGTGGAAAGCAGACTGAACCAGGATTTCCTCTAGGATTTTGCCTGTGCTTAGCTCCATTAGGTTTCTTTTTTATCCTGAAAAACTCTACAGTCCTTAACGATTACAAGCATACCCATAACATGATGCAGCCACCACTATGCTTGAAAATATGGAGAGTGGTACTCAGTAATGTGTTGTATTGGATTTGCCCCAAACATAACATCTAGTATTCATGGCAAAAAGTAAATTGCTTTGCCACATTTTTTTGCAGTATTACTTTAGTGCCTTGTTGCAAAAAGGATGCATGTTTTGGAATATTTGTATTATGTACATGCTTCATTATTTTCACTCTGTCAATTAGGTTAGTATTGTGGAGTAACTACAATGTTGTTGATCCATCCTCAGTTTTCTCCTATTACAGCCATTAAACTCTGTAACTGTTTTAAAGTCACCATTGGCCCCATGGTGAAATCCCTGAGCGGTTTCCTTCCTCTCTGGCAACTGAGTTAGGAAGGACGCCTGTATCTTTGTAGTGAATAGGTGTATTGATACTCCATCTAAAGTGTAATTAATAACTTCACCATGCTCAAAGAAATATTGAATGTCTGCTCTTTTTTTATTTTTTTTATTTTTTTATTCTACCAATAGGTGCCCTTCTTTGCGTGGCATTGGAAAACCTCCCTGGTCTTTGTGGTTGAATCTGTTTGAAATTCACTGCTCAACTGAGGGACCTTACAGATAATTATTTGTATATGTGTCGTACAGAGATGAGGTAGTCATTCAAAAATCACGTTAAACACTATTATTGCACACAGAGTGATTCCATGCAACTTATTATGTGACTTGTTAAGCACATTTTTACTCCTGAACTTTTAGGCTTGCCATAACAAAGGGGTTGAATACTTATTGACTCAAGATATTTCAGCTTTTCATTTTTAATTAATTTGTAAAGATTTCTCAAATTAATTCCACTTTGACATTATGGGGTATTGTGTAGGCCAGTGACAAAATCTAAATTTAATCAATTTTAAATTCTGGCTGTAACACAACAAAATGTGGAAAAAGTCAAGGGGTGTGAATACTTTCTGAAGGCACTGTATAGGGAATAGGCTGCTATTTGGGACACATTTTCACGTGATTCGTTGACATGAACAATTGAAGAGAATGTTCCTCTTACACATGGTCAGGGTGGTTTACTTACCATTTGACTTGCATTTTACATTTGACTTACTTTAACTTACCTTTTATTGCATTCCTGCCTGAAACTGACAATTGACGTTCTGTTGTCCTCTCCCCTCCAGCGTTGCCATAACTACCTGACAGAGCAGTTGGGCATTCCAGTGTGGGGCTCATATGTCATCTTTGGACTGGCCACTCTCTTCTCTGGCCTAGCCCTGGGACTGGTACGTTAAAATCATACTCCTTAATATGTGATCCCTATGTGATCTGTCCTGTCTCGTCTGGTCTTTGTTTGATTGATTTTAATTGCACTAGGATTTGATTTTACTTGCACTTTGATTTGAATGTACTTATAATGTAAGGTGTCCTGAAAGGCATCTGTCAAATAAAGTATTGTTATTATTTAGTAGTATGTGCATAACCTCATATAGTGGGCCACCAACAAAAATGTAAACAATGGAGCAAATGCATCTCATTATATTTTGTAGGAAAAGTGTATGACTTTGGAGGTTATTGGTGGCAATGAGAGCAATATATATCAACATCTTACAGTAACATCAACTCTGCTCTCCTCAATAACCTAACCAGCATCCCTTGTGCCTTCTCTTCCCAGATACTGGTGTTCATAGCCGATTTTGTCTTCCCATCACGACGATTTAACTCACCAAACTACTACCAGAGTGAGTATGAGATGACAGAGAATCCATGTTCATGCAAATGTAACTTTGTGAAATATTACATTTACATTTACATTTTAGTCATTTAGCAGACGCTCTTATCCAGAGCGACTTACAGGAGCAATTAGGGTTAAGTGCCTTGCTTAAGGGCACATCGACAGATTTTTCACCTAGTCGGCTCGGGGATTAGAACCAGCGACCTTTCGGTTACTGGCACAACGCTCTTACCCACTAAGCTACCTGCCGCCCTGTTATGTGCTGACATTAAGCAAGAACTCCTAGAGAATGTATAGAGGAATATAGGTAATAATTCATCATAAATGTTTCTTTACAGAGAACAGACATTCGTCTTTTTTGTATTCTTCCTAAGTTGTGTCCCAGTGACTTAGTCATTACATACAGTTATGTTTTAGTTTAGGAGCAATGGCATGGAGGGTGCGATATGTAATGTAACATATTTGTTATTGTCATGTACTGTTATTCATATTGTCTTTGTTATTGTCCTGTTCCAGAGAAACAGACGATGGAACAAGCCAGGCTTATTCAGCAGCTAGAGGAAGAGCAGGAGGCGGATGGAGAGGAAGATGATGATGAGGACGATGAAGATGGAGAACAGGAGGATGTCTGGAGGAGGAGAGCATCTCCAGAGGGCCATCCCGAGGCCAGAGGGCCGGGTTACCCAGAGGAGGCCCTGCGAAAGAGGGTGGTTGGCAACCGTGAGGATGAGGAGGAGGACTCCTAGAGGCCTGGAGGGGAACTGCAGATGCCACTTAACGCACATGGGAGACGGGGAAGGGGCCTGAGCTCATATTTATAAAGCGCCTCAGAATAGGAATATTGATCTAGGATCAGTTTTGCATTTTAGATCATAATAAATAAGATTACATGAGCAGGGGTAACTGATCCTAGATCACCACTCCTACTCTTAGGTGCTTTATGAATATTAGACCTGGCAGCAGTAGAGTTTACAGCAGACAGCTTACAGAGAGCCTTAGCGACGCCCCGGCGACTTCTTGCTTCCTGTATCTGCTTCAACGGGAGTGCTCCGGATTCTGATGACCGCTCTGCTTTCACCACCAGCATTTTCTCCTGGACTGGAGGTGCTACTGTACACTCCCAACAGCAGGGTTGTGTTCATTAGGTATCTTTTGAAGAAAACAGAGTGGAACAGGGAGGGTTTATCCAAATTTGTCCAATACAAAATGCTCATTTTCATTTTCCATTGCAAAATGTTTTAAAACGTTTTCCATCGCGTGCCCTAATGAACCGATAAATTGGGTGAGGTTTATGTATGGAGTGCAGTAGAACTGTATAATTTTTTTGCCACTGTTTTATGCTATGCATTTATTTTGTTTTTATTGAATCTCTTGTGCGTTAATCCCTGTTTTAACAAATGATATGCAGCTTGTGTTTTGAGCATAATTTCATTGTATGATATTTTCCATGTAATCTAATATGTACTTGCTATGTTTGTTTTGTTCACCTTTTTGTACCTCAGAAATCCCATAATTTATTTTCATCCAAGTCTTCCTTGACAGACCGTGCATCCACCCGCCATGATACTCCATAATGGTTAAATATTGTGCAGTAGTACATCTGGATCCTCTTTCCCCCTTATAATGAGTGCAGTGCAGTTAGCATGCTTTTATACAGGAACCCATGATCAAATCTCTTCGGGACAGGGACCCTTCATGTTTCCATTTGGTCTTTAATCAGCAATCACACAAAGATGTTGACTTGAGTTACGATGCTCTGCTCTAGCTCTACAAGACTGGACGGTTTAATCTCTGGTGGAAGGGAACTGCTATCTGCTGCCTGCATGGTTTTTATTAAGTTTCACACCACTGTATGAAGGATTGTGGTGCTAAACCTCCCTGGTGAATATTGTTCAATATGGATCATTAAAGCGCAACTGAACGTAATAAGGAATTTCTCCTTTTAAAAACAGCTGATGTGGCATCGGTATGAGTCAGAAAAATTTATTCTAGTGTCAAAATTGACTACAAAGTGTAAATGGGATCATTTCAGTCATAAAGTCGGTCTCGTCCATAACAGAGGTTTGCAAGATGATTATGAAAAAAGGGTATGTCATGGAATGAAGGGTACCGTAACAGTTTTACTTGGGTTGTGTTTTTTTCAATCCTGCCCCCAGCTGGCAGCACCCAAGTAATCATCAATTCAGAGCGCAATGCCATGGTCAATTTGGTTTGACATTCGACATCCCTATGGGGCTAGATAGAATTACACAATGTATTTGGGGCAATATTTTAAAATGTCAATAGCTCCCGATTTCAATTACTTAAAAATGTTAAACCAACTATAAATTGTAGAAATTCATATACATATACTGAAAGGTGTGCAATATTAAAATATTTTCCCATTTACATTGTCTAATTTATTGTCTGTCCCTAACTAGCACCAAAGATAGGATATCCAAAGTCAAACCAATTTTGCCACGTCGCACACCGGCCGGCAGAAGCTAATTGGCTAAATAAGTTTGCTAGCTAGTCTAGGCTACTTTCAGACACAAGACCTGGTTAGACGGTTTCAAGTTATCTAGAAGGGTGAGCAAATGTACTGTTTTGTCAGAGTGAAAGTACAAACCCTTCCCTCATTCGAACACACACACAGGAGACACCCACATCAAAGCACTCTTCCAAAACCCAGATCTTGTTCTCATTCGCATTTCCTAATGAGGAGAATTGAAACCGAGGCTAAATCAGGAAGTTCAGCTCCCCTTTAATACTGAGTTCATAACCAAGTGGGAAAGTGGTAATTAGCAGTTGTGAAGTCGTAAATACCAGTTGGATGCATTCATGTACTTTGAACTCGTTGACAAATGCCGATTTGCTAATGGCCAACAAGCTGTGTCAACCATACACTAAAAGTACAGCTATCATACTTGTAAACAAGTTGTAGTGTTCAAAAACCATATTAATAGAGTTCTTTACATAAATATTTTGTTGCATTTAAGTGCTGAAAATGATGTTATCGAGGTCATTTCCTTAGTAGGTGACGTCAGAGGACAGCATGTGGGAGAAGTCGGAGCTCAGGGATGATAAACGAGTTTCCCACTAGTAATTAGCAGTTGGAGAGGTGTTCAAGTGGATTTTTCCTAACAGAGCCATACTGGGGCGCGTTCACAACACCAAACTGTTACAAAGATATTGTGCTGTAAAATGTAAATAACCTTGTTTTGTCAATCTCCACTGTTAAGATAATATCCACCCCTTTGTAAAGCTGGCAGTGGACTGTATTTTGGATTTGTATCTTATGTTGTGTTCACCTGTGTGTGATGCTCTTCCATATTATTATTGATTGGTAATGTGCTGTCATGTAATGTGTTGTCAATTATTAAGGGAGTTCTTTAATAGCCTGGTCCCAGAACGGTTTGTGCTGTCTTGCCAACTCTTATGGTCACTCTGGTTCTTCTATTTTGGACAAACTAGGGATGTGTCTCAATATGCATACTACTGTGCTCCTCACTCCCCATGCTCCTAGTGCGGTCTTCGAGGGCATTCTCTTGAGTATGACCTTATTAGGACGAGAGTGTGGAAACACATACATTTTACATTTGAGAAGCACTGCACACTCCTGTGCTACTGCATTACCTTTTACAGTTGACAGTAAATTGTGTCATCATCATGTCGGCTGCTCATCTACAGTATGCTGGACTTTTCTGGATCACGACTACCCTCTGTAACATGTCATATGTCAAACATTTGTAGATCTGAACATCAGATTTAGTTTAATATTGCATTATTGTCAGTAAAGCAATTTAGACTTTTAATCCGTTTGTGTTTTGTATTATTTAGCTACATAGAAATTTGGAAGTAAAGACCAACAAAATCCAACTTGTCACATGGAATGTGCACGGGCTCCATGATGAAAAAAAAAAAAAAACATATTGTTCTCGAACACTTAAAGAGATTGTCAGCCGTTTTCTTGCAAGAGTTAAATGTAATTTAAAGAGGAGCTGGGTTGGAGAGGCCTATGCTGCCACCCACTGTAGTAACAGCAGAGGTGTAGTGCAGGTATACAGCGCCCCCCTGCAGAAAAAAAAGAACTAGACAATAATTTGTGCCAGGTGGGATATCCCTCCTAAATAGCTCGGGCTAATGTTCCTGTTGACCCAGTAAGGCCAGTAGGCTAGTCTCTTTTTATTGGTTGTAACTGTTATGAATGTTGTATTGTCAATTTGTTTTCTACTGTATTTAAATGCCACTTTAAACGTGTACATGATACTGCAACAAAATGGCCCCATGGGGACAATACAGGAAGTAAGATATGTAGGCATCCTGACAAATAAGAATACACCATTTTCCCTTATGTCCCAGCACATGGACCAAGAAGGCCGTTTTCTAATGTTGAATTGTACCTTACATGGTGAAAAATACACATTGATTTCATTGTATATTAGTCCCACCAGGGGCAAATCAATTTTTTAAATAGCTATATTAGATTATTTTAGCAGGTGACCTAAATTAAACACTGAACAAGAATATAAATGCAACATGCAACATTTTCAAAGATTTTGCTGAGTTACAGTTTATATAAGGAAATCAGTCAATTTAAATAAATTCATTAGGCCCTTATCTATGGATTTCACATGACTGGGAATACAGATGTTGATCACAGATACACTACATTACCAAAAGTATGTGGACACGTGCTCGTCGAATATCTCATTCCAAAATCATGGGCATTAATATGGAGTTGGTCCCCCCTTTGCTGCTATAACAGCCTCCACTCTTCTGGGAAGGTTTTCCACTAGATGTTGGAACATTGCTGCGGGGACTTGCTTCCATTCAGCCACAAGAGCATTGGTGAGGTCGGGCACTGATGTTGGGCGATTAGGCGTGGCTCGCAGTCGGCGTTCCAATTCATCCCAAAGGTGTTTGATGGGGTTGAGGTCAAGGCTCTGTGCAGGCCAATCAAGTTCTTCCATACCGATCTTGACAAACCATTTCTGTATGAACCTCGCCTTGTGCACGGGGGCATCGTCATGCTGAAACAGGAAACGACCTTCCCCAAACTGTTGCCACAAAGTTGGAAGCACAGAATCGTCTAGAATGTCATTGTATGCTGTAGCGTTAAGATTTCCCTTCACTGGAACTAAGGGGCCTGAACCATGAAAAACAGCCCCAGACCATTATTCCTCCTCCACCAAACTTTACAGTTGGCACTATATATTCGGGCAGGTAGCGTTCTACTGGCATCCGCCAAACCCAGATTCGTCCGTCGGACTGCCAGATGGTGAAGCATGATACATCTATCCAGAGAACCCGTTTCCACTGCTCCAGAGTCCAATGGCGGTGAGCTTTACAAGTCAAATCAAATATTATTTGTCACATGCGCCGAATACAACAGGTGTAGACCTTACCCTGAAATGCTTACTTACAAGCCCACCACTCCAGCCGATGCTTGGCATTGCGCATGGTGATCTTAGGCTTGTGTGCGGCTGCTCGGCCATGGAAACCCATTTAATTAAGCTCCCGACGAACAGTTATTGTGCTGCCGTTGCTTCCAGAGGCAGTTTGGAACTCGGTAGAGAGTGTTACAACCGAGGACAGACGTTTTTTACGCGCTACGTGCTTCAGCACTCGGTGGTCCCATTCTGTGAGCTTGTGTGGCCTACCACTTCGCGGCTGAGCCATTGTTGCTCCTAGTTGTTTCCACTTCACAATAACAGCACTTACAGTTGACCGGGGCAGCTCTAGCAGGGCAGACATTTTACGAACTGACTTGTTGGAAAGGTGGCATCCTATGACGGTGCCACGTTGAAAGTCACTGAGCTCTTCAGTAAGGCCATTCTACTGCCAATGTTTGTCAATGGAGATTGCATGGCTTTGTGCTTGATTCTATACACCTGTCAGCAACGGGTGTGACTGAAATAGCCGAATCCACTAATTTGAAGGGGTGTCCACGTATATATGGTGTATGCCAAATAACAGTCTAAAAACCACTTGAGGGCAAATAAATCAGATTTGACCATTCAGACACTAGTTAGGCGACATAGCCAGGAATCAGATTTGTATCTGACTTCAAACCAACTATGAAGGTGCTTTGAAATGTGGCTTGAAATATCTGTTTCCATGCGCTTTCTTACTGCTTTCTTTAAATAAAGAATCAACTCATGTTTGAATCCAACTCTCTAGTACCTTGACTCACAATGGGCAAAATACTGTGATGTTTTACAATGACTTCTAGAAGTTTCATTTTTAGCAGTTACTCTC